CGAGCTTAGGGCATAGGGCTTTTGGGGTTTGAAGTTCAAAGTTATTAACAGGATAACGCCAATAACGGCGGCTAGCTGTGTCCTCGCCTTGTCCAAGAAGGGGATTCCAGGATTGGCTGATAGTGTATTGAGCAGACAGCCATATGCACGTAAGACGTAACAGGAAGCGTGCATTGCACGCGGTCTGCCTGTGCGCATAGACGCTCGCAAACCACCGTGCCGAGACCGGCCTTCCAACAAACACTAAAAGCCCAAACCCCACAGCCCAAAACAGGCCGCAAAAGCCTAAACCCCAAGCCCCGAAACATGGCCCAAAAACCCGAACCCGAATCGTACCCTAAGCCCTAAACCCCCATACCCTAAACCCTAAACCCCTATGCCCTGAACCCTAAACCCCTAAACCCCTAAACCCTAAACTCCCTACCCCAAACCCTAAACCCTATAGACCCCAAACCGCCGGGGCCTTTGGGAACGAGTCGAAGAGCTTCCGGCTCCTCGCAGCCGCGATGCCAGCCCACCACGGCCTCTGAATGGGCAGAGGGGTTTTAGGGTTTAGGAGTTTAAGGGGTTTAGGAGTTTAAGGGGTTTAAGGGTTTAGGGTTGTTAGGGGTTTAGGGAGTTTAGGGTTTACGGGTTTGGGTTTGCGGCTTAGGGTTTGTGAGCTTGTCTATGGTTTAGGGCTCTCTAAACTAGGGTCCCTTTTAAGGTGCTACGGGTGCCGCACTATGCTGGGGGCCGAAGAAGGCGCCCTAAATTTTGAGAACTAGCCAACTGCAGGGTGCATGCGTGCGGATTTGGAGTCGGACTTGAGGGTTCAGGGTTTTGGGGTTTTGGGGGTTTGGGGTTTAAGGTTCGGTATTTTGGGCTTAGGGCTTAAGGCCTCGGACTCCAAGCCCCAAGCCTCTCAAGACGAGACGTCTTTGACCATAGAAAGGGCGAGCTAACTTCAGAGTACATCGGAAACTCGGAGCATCGGACGTCCGAAGCTCACGCAATCGCCTCGCCCGCGGAGGGTAATCAATCGGCACAAACGCGAGGCTCCCAAAACACTGAAGTCCAAACCCTGAAACCCCAAATCATGAGACCCTCAACCCTAAATCGAAGCGCTCCAAACCCCCAAAAATCCCGAAACCCTTGAGACCCTATATAGCCTCCAGCCTGCTCCCAGCCTTTGACCCCAGCCTTTGACCCCTCCAACTCCCCAAGAAACCCTGCTACTAGCCTAAACCCTAAGCCCTCAAATCCTGCCAGAAAAATGAAAGCCCAGAACCCTTGAACATCTCCAAACACGTAGCCCCAGAAGGAACCTCTCAAACTCCCCAAACCCCCAACCTTCGACAGAAAATGAAAAGCTTCGGAAAGAATCAATCTAAACAGCAACAAACCACGCACAAAACCTTCTTAGGGTCTAGGTTTTGAGGGTTTAAGGACTATAAGGAAAGAAAGAGTGTTAGCAATAATAAACCCTAAACCCTGCAACCTGAACCCGAAGCCCTAAACCCTAAGCCCTAAACCGCAGCAATCGTAATGATACTAATAACAGTGATTCAGAATTAACAAATAGTAACAATAACAAAGGCTTATCAATAATTATACTAAGAATGATAATAAAAATATCAATAACGATAATAACAATAATAATAATAATAATAGTAATAATAATACTAATACAATAACAAGACGAAGAAGAAAAAGAGCATAATACACCCTAAACCCTGTAGTAATAATGATACTCATACAATAACAAGACGAAGAAGAAAAAGAGCATAATACACCCTAAACCCTGAACCCCTAAACCCTAAACCCCTACCCCCTAAAACCTAAACCCCTAAACCCCTAAACCCCTAAACCCCTAAACCCTAAACCCTAAACCCCTAAACCCTTTAAAGGGACCTCCTCAAGCAGAGTCGGGGCTGCTTCCCTGCGCCGCTCGCTGCCGGCGACGTTGGCCGGGGTGCCTCGTCGGACGCAGGGATCCCCTTTAAAGGAGCCGTAGCCCTACCCTTAACCCTAAACCCCTTTTAAAGGATCCCATTAAAGGAGCCCTACCCAAAACCACGGTTTAGGGTTTAGGGTTTAGGGTTAGGATCCCTTTAAAAAAGAAGCCCTACCCAGGAGCCCTACCGTAAACCCTAAGCCCCTTTAAAGGATCCCTTTAGAGGAGCTCTACCCTAAACCCTAAACCCTTTAAAGGACCCCTTTAGGGGAGCTCTACCCTAAACCCTAAATCCTTTAAAGGAGCCCTTTAAAAGGATCCCTTTAAGGGAGCCCTTGTAAAGGAGTTTTGGGGTGCAGAGTATTGGGGTTCAGGGTTTGCCTCGACCCTAAAGAACCTACATTTTCTTTTAAGGACTCATGTAAGGAAACTGTCATAAGGATCCTTAAAAGGTAGGTCTTATAGGGTCCAGGTACGATTTAGGGTTCAGGGTGTAGGGTTTAGAGTTCAAGGTTTTATGGTTGTTGAACTGTTGGGGGATGATTTAGGGGTGGAAGGGCCTAAATCCATTTAAAGGACCCTTCAACAGATCCAAAAAGTTCTAAGGATGTTATAAGCTGCTAATAAGTTCCTTAAGGACAAAAATGAGGGTTTTGGAGGAGGTTTCTAGGCTTGTAGGACAGTCGAGTCGGATCTTCTGTGATCCATAAACGAGCTTTCGGTTGAAGGGTGAAGATTTTCTTCCAAACCCCTACAAGGATCCCAGCAGTGCAACATCGAACCAAGGCCCCATCTTAGCCCACAGTATAAAAACGGTAGGAATAGGTTTGTTCCAGGATCTATCTTTCAGCTCCTTTCAGGGTCTGAGAAGCGGGATGTACAAGGGGCCTGCAGATTCAAGTTCAAGGCTTAAGTTGTCTGCGTTCGGATTTGAGAGTTGAAGGGTTAGCACGCTGAACTTAAACAAAATACTTCGGCGTGGTGTAAGGCGCATCTCGTCTGTAGGCTCTGTCATGTCACGTCCCGGTTGAATGCTCCACATCTCGGGCTTTAGAGCTTCGGCAGCGCTTTGGTCATTTAGGGAGTAGACTAGTTGCTAAACCCCAGACCCTAAACCCCAAACCCTAAACCCTAAACCGTTTAGTTGGAGGGGTGGATTCGGGGCGTCTTAGACTTCAACATCTGGGTCTATGAGCGGGGTTTGGAGTTTGGGGCGTACCCGGACCCTGAACAACCTGGATACTCTTTTCATGACAAATATAAGAGTAAGAGAATCATAAACGGGAGCCCAAGAAAGGACGGCTGTTAAAGGGGCCAGCCCCTAAACCCGAAACCCCGAAGCCCTAAAAACCCTGAACCCCTAAACCCTAAACTCCTAAACACTAAACCCCAAACCCCTACACACCAAAACCTCCAACCCTAAACCCTAAACAAACCCCAAGCGCCCAAACCCTAAACCCCCAAACTAAACCCCTGTCTCCTAGACCGCAGCTCTCGAGCCTGAATCTCCCAGCTTGGCGCTCTTCTGCCTCTTCGCCGGGTTCTTGGACATGGCGGCGCAGACTTCGGGCTCCAAATTCCCCTTAAGGCTTAGGGATTTGGGGTTCAGGGGTTTCGGATTTAAGGGTTCAGGGGTTTGGGGTTTAG